CCGAGGTGGGTAAAATGAGGACCCGGATTGTTGTTGGGGGCCATATGCTGACTCTGTAAACCGCTTAGAGGGGGCTGAAAGCCCTATGAAGCGGTATATAAGTCTAACTGCTATTGCTAATGTGGATTTCTTGTTCCTTGCCAAAACTCTACGTGCCATCAATAAGAGTTAAGCCGTTAGAAAGTCTCATTTTTCCAAAGAGGGGAGATGCACGCCAGTTAAGGTTAAACGCAGAAATGCATAATTAGGGGTGTCACAGAGTCAGCTTCTTGGGGGGGGGGGGAAACCCTGATATTCTTATTATTATTATTATTGCAGAACCGCCATTTGGAAGCTCGGAGACCACCGAATTAGGAAAAAAAAAAAAAAGAAGGACAAAAATTACCTGTAAAACTGGAGCTGTCTTTTCGGACTTCCATAACGAGCACTTTGGAAAGCAAAAGGGGAAAAAGAAAGAAAGAAAGAAGAAAGATTCCACAAATCACAGGTTTTGAAAAGGGGGGGGGGAGGCGAGGAACGGTGCAATTACGTCGGACGAACGAACGGCATACTGTCTCTCCAGACACTCTGGCCACTCAATGCAAGACTCTATGGTTGGTGGCATTGTCTTGGATCCAAGAGGGTTGAGTCAACATATCATCTTCCCAGACACTCTGGCCTCTCAATCCAAGACTCTATGGTTGGTGGCATTGTCTTGGATCCAAGAGGGTTGAGTCAACGTATCATCTTCCCAAACACTCTGGCCTCTCAATACAAGACTCTATGGTTGGTGGTATTGTCTGGGATCCAAGAGGGTTGAGTCAACGTATCATCTTCCCTAGACTATCTGGGCCTTCCAACCCATGACTCTATGGTCATTCCCATGGTCTTGGATCAAGAGGGCTGGGCCAACGGCACCCCCAAGTGGAGCAGGTGGGAACTGCACATTTCTGGCAGTGACATCCTAATGATCCAGGAAGCTGGATTCATTTAACCGTGTTACTAATTTAACAACGGCAGTTGTTCACTAATAGTGGCAAGATAGGTCATAACATGGGACACAACTCTTCTTAACAACTGTCTCATTTACCAACAGACATTTTGGGCTCTTACAAAATAAAATAAAAAATAACTGACGACCGACCCAGAGTGCGACTCGCTTACTAACCGTCTTTCTTAGGAGTGGGAATTTTTGTCCCGATGTTGGTCATAAGTCAAGGACTACCCATGTTTCTGATTTCGCACCGAGGGGGTGTCGCTCAGCTGCTTCCTTCTGCTCGCTGAAAGGCCCAGGAGGGGACAAATGCGGGATACCACGCCCGCACGGGACAGGAGTCACAACCGACACACACTCACCTGTAAATCATACCTGGGGATCCAGTATGTCGGTTTGAGAATCTGGCCGGGGAGTCCGTGGTGGATTCGGGGTACATGGAGGCAAACTCCTCCAGGATCCAGATGAATCTTTGTTAACACCCACTGCAGAAAGAAAAGAAAAAGAAAGAAGAAAGGAAAGAAAAAGGGGGAAGGGAGAAAAAGAAAAAAGGAAAGGAAAGAAGGAAGGAAAGAAAGAAAGAAAGTTAAACCATGAGTTGAATCTTTTTATTTTCTTCTTTTAAAGACATTTTAAGAATTTTGCTTCCCATTTTGCCCTGGTCTTTCATTGTATACATTTTGTTTTTTTTCTTCCTGTACACTTTTTTGTTCAGCTTTTACAAATCCTGGACTTTTTTGGGGGGGAAAAATAGCTACAACTGGAAAAAAAAATTCAACAAAAGCTCTAGAATAGATTCTGTTCTGGATAAATCTTCTTGGTTCCTGGATAATCTGCTTACTCAGCAAAGCTGGCAGCAAAAGCAGAAAAAAAGGAAGATAAAAGGAAGAAAAAAGAAGGAAAGGAAAATAAAACATGCATCTAAAAAATGGTGAAGGAAACCATGATTTCCAATCCAGAACTAAACCATGATTTGCAATCCAGAACTGCCTCCAAACCATCATGACCACTGCTGTCCACAAGAGGGCGCTGCAGACCTCTTAGCCGCCACTCCAGTTAAAATTGCAAATCTGCTATTTAAAAAATTAAAAGATTCTGTCCCAAAGTTGTTAACGGACAGGCAGATAAATAAGACAGAATGGATAAATAAGATAGAATTAATGGATGGATAACATAGAAAAACGGGGAGATAGAATGGATGATTGGATGGAGAGAGGGATGGATAAATAAGACAGATAGATGGAGAGATGAATAGAACAGATAAAATGATGGCTGGATCGATAATAAAGGTACACTGGAATAGATAAATGCATGGATGGATAAATTGGATGGATGGAGAGAAAGGAGAAATATGTATAGATAAATGATAGACAGATAGCGATAGGTAGAGAAGATACAGACATTCTGTAGATATAGATTCTGTAGATAAGATTACATATACATATACATACATACATACATACATGCATACATATATATATATAGTTTTGTCAAAGCATGCCCAAATATGGGGAGGGAACATATGGTTAGCTGATGAGAGCTAAATAGCTTGAAATAGATCTATACTAGATTCGATAGATAGGTATGATAGATAAATAGATATAGATATGATAGATAGATAGATAGATAGATAGATAGATAGATAGATAGATAGATAG